AATCCGTTTAATTAAGTTACTAAGTTCAAATTTGATGCAGAATATGCAGATGAGCGGAATCTTTCTACAACTTATCTCTAATCACAACGTCCACTTTCATTTCTCCAGATCTACCTTCCTGTGGTTCTTCCTGTGGTTCTGAGCAACAGTTCTGCTTTGGACCCTCTCTATAACTGTCTTCACGTCATCAAACAATGGCTCGCCCAGAATTTCCTTCACCTGAATGAAGGAAAGACTGAGTACATCCTGTTCACCCCGGACTCACCTCACAGCTCCCCCAGTTTTGTTCCTCCTACACCTCAGTTTGCTCCCGCCATCCGCAACCTGGGTGTTATTTTTGACAGTACTATGATTTTTGATAAACAGATAGGTGCAGTTGTGAAAGCGAGCTTTTACCAGCTAAGGCTCCTCAGCAAGATCAAGTCTTTCTTGTCCCGAGCTGACCTTGAAAAGGCCATTCATGCCTTCATCAGCTCGAGGATAGACTACTGTAACGCCCTCTACACTGGACTTAACCAATCACTCCTCAATCGGCTTCAACTGGTACAAAACGCAGCAGCTCGTCTCCTCTCCAACACCTCCAGACGCTCACACATCACCCCAGTCCTCCGCTCTCTCCACTGGCTCCCGGTGGCATTTAGGGTGGAGTTTAAGGTCCTGATGTTTGTGTTCAAGGCTATCAAAGGTCTGGCCCCGGCCTACCTCGCCGAACTAGTAACGGTCTACAAACCAGCCAGAGCTCTGCGCTCCTCTGAACACACCTCCCTCGTCACTCCCAAATTCAAATACAAAAAGTTTGGAGGCCGTTCATTTGCTGCCCAAGGCCCAAAGCTGTGGAACGCACTTCCTGTACAGCTTCGAAACATCACTGAGTTGAGTGTTTTTAAATCACAGTTGAAGACACATCTTTTCAGGAAAGCATTCAATGCATAATGACTGACTCGACTGCTGTTCTTTTTTATGTGTTTGTTTTTATCGGTGTCTATTGTGATTCTTGTTTTTATCCTGGAAAGCGCCCTGGGCACCTTCTGGCTGTTGTTGGGCGCTATACAAATAAAAATTTGATTGATTGATTGATTGATAGTGTAACTCTCGTGTTGTAATGAGGAAACAAGTTGAGATACATCCAGTGCAGCACAGCGGATTACAAATTATTCATCAGATCTTTTGTCCAATTAGATGAAATGATAAGGCGAAAACCAGCTTGAAGTTTGGTCCCCAGATAAAGACTGTGGTCAGGACCCTTCTTCTCGCTCTCTGCTTTTTCACATTCACAGCATTGGCCTGACCTTGACGAACTTCCACCTCCCTGGACTGTCCATGGACCACTCACATGAATAAACAAGGCTCCCTTGGACACGGTGGGCTCCAGCGAGCAGGAGAAGGTCAGCGGCCCCGTTCCCACTGTGGAGGGTCAGTCTGAGGCAGGGCTGTGGCAGAGCGGCCTCTCCACAGCTCAGCTCTGGTTCACATGAACCAAAGAGAAAATAAGACTCTTTGTGTCTCAATGACGGGAAAACAAGATATACAATAAATGATTTATAATAATAAAGGCAAACAAAAATACCTGTATATTAGGGGCATCCAAACTTTTTTCTAATAGGGCGACTTTAGTTTGCAAGACTTGTCCAGGGGCCAACAACCTGAATTGAAAAAACAGTTTTGAACTTTTAAGTCAGCTTTAAATCAAGTTGACGTTGGCTACGATTGAAACTCTATTTTGTGCCACAATCAAAAACAAATAACGAGTATGTACATAAAACAAGCTTTACAATAAGATATAACATACATACAGTATATTGGTGGAGCTGAAGTTGGCTGTATGACACTGTGAACTGGTGTCTATGATAACGTGTGTTAGCGAGGCAGAAGGCCAGATAACATGAATCAGAGGGCCGCACACATGCTGCTGTACATGGTTTGATAAGGAGTCTATAATAATCCAATCCCCTCCTAGTCATTCAGACACATACGACAATACAAGAACCAAAAGCTTTTGACCAGAAACATAGTCACAAGACACTCTATAACTTTAGCCTCTATAACTACTCTGACAGCTGAGAGCAAAAAAATACTTTGACTCCAGCAGCAGCACTGTCACACAACTGTAAGTGACTTTGGCGGTTCCCATTCTCGGCTCTTCCCTCCGCTCCGGCGCTGTGCTCTGTATCTGTGAAGTGAGTGTGCAGATGCGTCCCTGTGTGAACCCACATGTTTAATTCAGAATCAGGAAACTATATCTGAGTCATCACAAACGCTCACGGACCACAGAGCCGAGGACAGGACAGGACAGGGATTTGTAACAGAAATACACTGTACGCAGCTTCACAGTAGAGCAGCCGGTGGTTGAGGCCGTTTTAGTAACTCTGGTCTCGCGGCCAACTCTAACACTTTCCAGATCTCGTCCTTGCGTTTGTATCACTGCAATCGTGAAATGTTTTTTCTGAGCATGTGTTGTCCCTTTTATACTTGTTTTATACGTCTTCATAATGCTATAGTCAGAGTTTTTGTACTCATTATGCTAAAGATAGAGATGTTATGCTTCATTTTGAGGCTGAAGTTAAAGATTTTATTTATTTTATTTAGTATAGTCTGGTGATGCAACACTGAAATGTCCTCACTGTGGGAGGAATAAAAGATCTCTCTTAATCTCTTATCACTGGCACACCCGGGGTTGTTTTTAGCTCAACCCACATTAAAATCACAAACTTCCACTCCTCACTTCTTACAAACTCTTGTTACTTCAGAGACAGAGCTACTAAGTCTGTCTTCTGTGTCTTTTTTGATAAATATCTCTTCTCCAATAGTTGTGACCTTACGTTACATTGCGTTCATAACAATAGCATGCTTACTTATTTGAGGTTGTAATTTCCCAGCCACCAGAATTTTCACTGGTTTGAGCGTTCAACTACATGTGTTAAATATTGATCATAGTTTTTCACCAACCAGCAGGAGATGAGTTCTCAGGCCTAGCAATCTATGAACTGGTTGATTATCTGGAATTCAAATGTGTTCGACTGGAACGCTGGCTCTCTGAATACAAGATCACAGGATCATTTGCTTTTAAAAAACTTTTGGTACAAAAGCTGAACTTGGAAAAAAGGCTTTTGAACATGTTGCTATTATTTCCAAAAGTTTGCAAACTTGAGAACCCTGGTGCTACTTTCACATTTCAATAAATTGGTTTTAGAATTGTGTACACGTGACAAATGTATTACTATTGTATTTGGTTTGTTTTGTCGTGTTGAAAAAACATAGTATTATGTACTATTGCAAGAACACAGCATAAGGATAAAACAATCCTGCCTCACTACAGTCTAAACCCTATTGCTCAATGTGATTATGCCTTAATTTAATTTTCTAATTGTCAAATAACACCTCTGGATTTGATCCATCCTGATGCCGCGAAGGTATACGTCAGGAGCAGTGGTCGCCGTAGTAACAGCGCCCAGGAACCCATCTCCAGATGTTGATGCTCGGCTTGGTTAGTGCATGTTTTTAGTGGTAGAGGAAACCGGAGTAACTGGGGGAAATCTACGTAGGCACGGGGAGAACATGCAAACTCCACTCAGAAAAACTGTTCCAACTAGGATTTGAACCCACGACCTTCTTACTGAGAAGCTGAAGTGCTATCCACTCAGCCACCATGCCGCCCTTTAGACAAGCTTATGTCACATCTGCATTGCATGTAAAAAGAGGGGAAATTACGAAAAGAATGGAAACAATTGTTGTCGTTTTGCTACAAACTGCTGCACGTTTTATGGACACATGTTTAGAGACAAACAGTTTTTCTGAAGTCTGAGATTTTGAATTTTAATAATGAACACACGATCATTCAAAAGTATCCTTTATATCCAGCCTGACGCTTCATGTTTTATTTATTTTTTTCCTCATAGCTGTCTAAACAATAGCAGCTGAAATGACTCTTCCTCTAACTTTGGCAAGCAAACACTGTATTCGGCCAGAAGACTGTGAGAGACACTTTGGACTTGAGAGCCGTGTGTGATCTAATTGAAGGGTTTGGATGGTCCTTTCTTATCACACACCACTCTCTGTCACATGACCCTGATTCAGGTCAAGCCTCTACAATCCCCTCCACTGTGGCTAAAAGCATTTCCCTGTCAATCGCCCCAGCTAAAGCCCCGAAGGTTGGCGGCTAAACGTATTTGCCAAATTATCTGCGAAATGAATTGATTTTGTTGGGTAAAAGGTGCAATTGAAAGGCGGAAGACAGAGACTTGGCAGCGCACTGCAGGGATCTGAGTGGTTTTGAATGACGGTCTCCTGATTTAGCCCACTCCCGCAGAAAGAAACAGGAGAAAATCCACTCTGTTGCAAGTCCGTCTCATAACAGACTTCCCCAAACCATCTCACTTTGCACACAAATGAGCTCAAAGTTGCTTTTCACACAGATTTAAAGGAAGTTGTGATCATTGTCTTTTTTGAGCTTTTAAACATGTTGCCCTCATCAAAAACATAAAAACAAAAGTATGTTTAATAGTTGTCTAATGAAAAAATCGGGCTCAAGCTAATTTTTGTAACTGCAGAACCAATACATTATTAACACAGCCTTCCATCTCAGTTTGGACGACGATTCAATTAAATGTATCATCCCCCATTATCCGCTGTCAGACTGCACAATGAGTCACTTTAAGTCACTAATGCATTAGGACTGAAAAAAATCTTTGATTGCCACTTTCTTATTGTACATAATATATCTGAGTGATTCTATCCATGCCAAATGTGACGTGTAAATTTCTCCAGTGTGAGATCAATAAAGTCCATCTTATCTTATTCTTGTAACGCCATAAATCACAACAGTAGTTATCTGGAAGGACTTTACACAATCGTTGAATTCGCCAACACAGATCAGAAAATCAAACAGTTTAAATACTAGAAATAGAAAAGAAATCAACCATTGTCCGTAAGTGTTGATAAATGTCTACGATTCATCCATACTTCCCACACTGCAGTAAAAAGAAAAAAGAAAGTGTACTCACTATGGTAAAGTTCATGACCTTGAGGATCCAGATGGTGAGGGCCAGGTTGATGAGGATGAGGATCATAAGCAGAAGGACGAAGAAGTAGAGGCAACGTTTCCTCCAGCCGTAGATCCCCACTTTGTAGATCTGAGGTTTGTCGGAGCTCTGCACATTGTTCCTATGAGAGCACTGTTCCTGGGTCATCTGTTACACACACACACACAGGGATAGGAAACTTAAGATTCAATTGGAAATTACTTTAATAATAATAATGCGTCGGTTTTATAGACCCACCACCTGAAGGAGCATCAGGGAGAGACTAGTGCTATGAGCATTGGGTGGCAGCTCTGATTGCCACCCCCCCGACCCAGAAATGGATTAATAAAGGGGAAGATAATGAATGGATGAATGAATGAATGTTCAATTTCCAGCTTGTGCTCAGTGAGCAGAGGAGTGCTCAGTGGTGGAAGTGGTAGGCCAGTGAAATACTTGAGTAGGGTTGGCCTATCTCAATTTCTAATGAAGGTTTGATAACAAAATACAAACAAGACTCATTACAAGTCATGCATATTTAATCCCAACAGTGTTAATATTGAAAGAAGAGAGAACACAATTATGATTGATGCATTGATCGAAGCAGTCCTTCTCTAGCCCCATGATTGTTTATTTCAATTTGGAGAGACGAGAAACAGGAAGTTGAGTATTTTATTGAAAGGAGGTTTGGCGCCCTAGATCCCGGTGCGGCCTTCGGATCGGAAAGGCTCCTGCGATGAGCGCGCACAATCCCCCGGGACCTAGGCACTGGTGGCGGCATTTGGCAGCGGGAAGAAAATTGAAGGCAGATTGGAGGCAGGGTGAAGAGGAGGAGGAGGGGAGGCGGTGCTTGCAAGGCTTCAGGAGGCCGGTAGTGGGAGTTGCTCAGTTTTTATGCGGCTGCGAGTCGGTACAGATGATTGGAAGGGGGCGTCTGCTGAGCGATAGGCTGGGGATGAGAGCCGGCCTGGAGGGGGTAAATTTGGTTAACGTCTACCAAATTGAATTTTCGCGGGCTGCATTTCAATTTGGAGAGACGAGAAACAGGAAGTTGAGTATTTTATGAAAGGATGTTTGGCGCCCTAGGTCCCGGTGCGGCCTTCGGATCGGAAAGGCTCCTGCGATGAGCGCGCACAATCCCCAAAAAAGGCTGCGTGTTGATGGAGTTTTCGAAGCCTGGTTTGGAGGGGACAGACGTCGTGACTACTCTATTCTGTGACCGCTATCGCTATGCTGTGACCGCTATCGCTATATGCTGTGACCGCTATCGCTATATGCTGTGACCGCTATCGCTATATGCTGTGACCGCTATCGCTATATGCTGTGACCGCTATCGCTATATGCTGTGACCGCCATCGCTATGCTGTGACCGCCAGCGCAATGCTGCTAACCATTTTTTGCTATATGCTGTGACCGCTATCGCTATATGCTGTGACCGCTATCGCTATATGCTGTGACCGCTATCGCTATATGCTGTGACCGCTATCGCTATATGCTGTGACCGCTATCTACTGTGATCAATACTTGCGGATACTCGGCTGCTGGCGGCGCCTATCCGGAAGGAGTGAGCTGCGTAGAGATGGGGAGACAGGTTACGAAGCAGCAGTACGGACTTTAGTTGGGCTCTGAACCCGTTGGATGACATTGGGAGGTGATCGGGGGTGAGAAATAACGGTCCGTTGAGATCTCCTTTCCGAGAGCGGAGGCGAGTGTAATGCATCGTGGGTTATTTTTTGCGCGCTGGGAACGTGAGCGTACGCATCACGTTCCGTCAGAGGAGAGTGTTTGAGAAGTGCGTGCCGCCACCAGAATCTTATTGCTTCACTTACTTTGCTTTGTATTGCTTTGCTGGGAGCTTGCGAGGAAGCCAGTAGCCGTTGTGCAGCCAGGATAGCGGACGCGTCTGGGCTGATGTAGGCGGAGAAAGCCGAAGAGGACCAGCACCCCAGCTGTTGGAGAGGTGGCGGCGCCTATCCTGAAGGAGTGGGCTGTATAGAGCTGGGGAGACAGATTGCAGAGGAGCAGTAGGGATCTTAGTTGAGCTCTGAACCAGGTTGCTGTCATGGGAAGAATGTCTGGAGAGAGATGTGTCGGAGCGAGCTATTATTATGTTGCAGGCGCCTTGGTCTTTGAATGTTTGAGATGCAGGTTGAAAGGGTCAGGGGACATTATGTTGGGTGAAAAAGAGCGACCTTTGTGTGATGCTTCCACTACGTCGAGATTATTGCGCATGACAGAGATCCTCTTTCTCTGCCACGTGTGATTCCACAGCGCGCAGGCCACGACCACTGGGAATATCTCGTGTAGGGCAGAGGAGATGCTCCGGTGGAAGTAGCGGCCTCGGCCCGGCAACCCAATGGTCCTGGAAGAATCCCCCAAAACCCACGGAAGGGGCACGTCCGTGTAGAAGCGGAGACCTGTAGGGGCAGAGACATGTCGGAAAGGGCCATTGATGTTGCAGGCGCCCTTACGCTTAGAATCTTGGGTCGGAGAGTAGATAATCAGGATAGTAGGATGGTCGGGAAGCCGCGTCTCGGACCGCATGAAGGTTGAGCGAGCAGTAGTGAACGCTTATGCAGAGAAGTCATAGAAGGCGAGCAGGAAGACGCTGCGAGGAGGGCAGACGTGTACTTGGAAGACGAGCCAGAGTTCAGTGCCGCTCAGAGCCGCTGCAGGATGGGCAGCACGATGGGGGAGCCTGCGATCAGAAGAGTGAAGAATACAGGTATGGATGCCTTTGATTAGGAGTCCGATTGACGGCACAGCGCAGCTACTCGGCCAGCTGCATCTGATAGAATCAGAAGATTAGGTAGAGAGATGAAGCATGACCGCCGAAGCGACCCTGGGAGCATAGGTACGAGGCCAGCGCGGCATACTCAGCCGGGCAGCATCCATTAGAAACAGGATAAGCTTCTGAGAGAGTGGGTTGCAGCAGTAGCGGTAGCAGCAGCGGCAGCAGCAGTACCTCAGATAATAACAGCGATAACCTGTATCAAGCCGCGGCAGCAGCAGCAGCAGCAGCAGCAGTAGCAGCATCCTTAGAGATTACAGTAATAATCCTGTATCAAGCCACAGCAGTAGAATGTTGTCGTAGCTGATCAGTGTTTCAGTAAAAGAGATGCAAGTGAAGAGAGATGGCAAGTAAATGAAGCAGCAGTAGTAGCGCAGTAGCAGTATGGAGCAGCAGCAGCAGCAGTAGTAGCCGTATGAAGCAGCAGCAGCAGTAGCGGCAGCAGCAGCTGCAGCGTCCGTAGATAAAACAGCAATGATCCTGTATCAAAGCCACGGCAGTAGAATGTTGTTGTAGCTGTTCAGTGTGAGGGATTTCACCAGGTTTTTTACGGTCCAAGTGATTTAACAGGTTTTACGGTCCAAGTGAGGGATTAACTGAGCCCGCAGTCCAAGTGAGGAGTTTAAACTATTTTTTTTTTTTTTTTTTTTTTTAATTTTATTTATTTATTTATTTATTTATATTTATTTATTTATATTTATTTATTTATATTTATTTATTTATATTTATTTATGTTTATTTATATTTATTTATATTTATTTATATTTATTTATTTATATGTAGTTATTTATTTATATGTAGTTATTTATTTATTTATTATTTTTTTTATATTTTTTTTTTTTTATATATAGCGTTCCAGATATATGCAGTACCATATATGCAGTTCCATGTACTGCATAACAGTTCCAGGTATAACCGTACCATATGAGCAGTTCCAATATAGGGGTTCCATATATAAGCAGTTCCATATGAAGCAGTTCCAGATACGGTACAACAGTTCCAGATATAAGTAGTTCCAGATATAAGTAGTTCCAGATATAATTAGTTCCAGATATAAGCATTTCCAGCTATAAGCATTTCCAGATATAAGCATTTCCAGATATAAGCATTTCCAGATATAAGCATTTCCAGATATAAGCATTTCCAGATATAAGCAGGTCCGTGAGGGATTAACCTGAGAGCTCACAGGCCAATGTGAGGGATTCATTTTGGGAGCCGCAGTCCGAGAGGGATTTAAACAGCGCTTGCAGTCCAAAGAGAGGGATTTAAACAGAGCCTGCAGGCCAAAGTGAGGGATTAAAACTGAGAGCATGCGGTCCAATGTGAGGGATTAAAACTGAGGTCTTGCAGTCCAATGTGAGGGATTAAAACTGAGGTCTTGCAGTCCAATGTGAGGGATTAAACGGAGCTTGCAGTCAGAGTGAAGATTTAACGGAGCTTGGTTAAAGAGAGCCTGCAGACCAATGCGAGGGCTTTAAACTGAAGCCTGCCCACCAGCACGGGGCCAACCGAGCCTGCAGTACAATGCGAGGGGAATAAACCGTCCGCGGATCTCATACTTACCCACAGCGCCAGAAGACAAGGGACAACACAACGGGACCACACCGTACCGGCACAAGGAGGCAGGGATGCGCACGGCTCCCACCGCACCGGGCTAGACCGGCCGTATGCAGCAGCAGGCCGCGACGAGACGAGCAGCGGCAAACCCGCGGAAGAGCCCGCAAAGGAGGAGAGCGGCAAAGACCCACGGACCACAGCACGAGACCCGCAGCAGGTGCAGCCACAGGAGGAGCAGACCACACGCAGCAAGACAGAGGACAGCAGGGACACGCACGAGTAAGCGTGAGTAGACAAAAGCGATTCCTCCAGAACAATTCTTTGCGAGGCTGCAGGAGCTTGCGAGGCTTCAGGAGGCCGGTAGTGGGAGTTGCTCCGTTTTTATGCGGCTGCGAGTCGGTACAGATGATTGGAAGGGGGCGTCTGCTGAGTGATAGGCTGGGGATGAGAGCCGGCCTGGAGGGGGTAAATTTGGTTAACGTCTACCAAATTGAATTTTCGCGGGCTGCATTTCTCAATAAATAAAGAGACACCAGACAGAAAGACACACACGTGCACATGATCGATCTGTACATTTTTGGCACTGCAAAAAACCCATACACATCGACTTGAAGCATCTTTAACTTAAATGAATCAAGGGAAAAAGAAAATGCCATGTCAATAACTCTATGGAAACCAGCAGGGTGGATATTGGGTATCCTGCGGCCTAAAGATTATTTGCTCTTTTGTGTTTATTATTATTGCATGTCTTGTTTTCTATTTTTGTAAAGTCCTTAGAGACGACTGTGGTTATGAATCAGGGCTATTCAGAAACGAATTGAAT